CCCCAAAACCCCAAAACCCCAAAACCCCTTCTTGATAATTAGAACAGAAATTTATATTCTTAAAACTTAGAAGTTAAATATAAATTGATTTAATAAACTATGAAGGTATACAACAAGATATCGATACTATTCTCAGTTAATCTTCTCCTAAGTCATCTAAACTCAAAGTTTACCTCATGCTACTTAAATGAAAATTCTGAATCTAGATGGAAGTTCTGCACTAAGATGGCATTTGGGAAAGATTCTCAAGGTAAAATGAGTTATTAAGGTACAGTGCTCGATGATGATATAAAATCTACTGACATCAAAGAAGAAAATTATGTGAATCTATTAGCATACAAAGAAGGGGTTTGGGAATAGAAGATATCTGGTTTTATGAGAAATCTAGATTGCAACGAGCTTTAAAGCTATGCTTATCTTACTTACCAAGTCAAGCTTGAAAAAGATTAGCCATTCCCTGTGGAAAACTTCAAGGATCTATTTATCAGAGATATTCCTCAAGTATGGTTTTTCGCCATTGCCGATTGTGATAAGAGAGCATTTATAGGAGAAGATGAAATTGATTTTAAAGTAGATTTGATGATCATGAATAATGAGACTCACTTTAGTGAAGAACGCCAAGGCATGACTCTCTTTTATATTTCTGCTTTCCTTGTTTTCGCATTAGTTTTGGGGGCAAATGTATATAAATACGTCACAGATTTGTTTCAATACAATAGACCTGACACTCCAATACTTCTACTCATGATGTCAGCAACTCTCTAGATAGCTCATATTTTCTTCCAGCTTATTCATCAAACAGTTTACTCATACAATGGAATAGGAATATTTTTACTAGATATATTATCAACTCTTTAGCTAATCATTTCCTAAATAATAATGGCTTTCCTATTTTTACTTCTATCCTTTGGTTGGACTATAACTAAAAATAATGTAGCTATGGAAGAGTTAGACTTGATAATCCCAATTTCATGCTTTGTCATCATAATGCATGTTATTGTGGGAGGACTGATATTTATTGATAACGAGGAGCATCATAAATTTCATGATTACTCAGGCATCCAAGGATTTATGCTATGTTTTATGAGAATATTACTCTTCATGGGATTTATTTATGGACTTTACTAGACAAGAAAAGAAATTAAAGACTAAAGAAAATTAGAGTATATGAGGCAACTCTTATTATCAGGGTCTCTCTACTTTTTGTCATTGCCTTTCTTTTTGCTATTATGCAACTTATTGTCTCCCTACAATCAGTAACTATTCTTTGTGTTTAGTACATTCTTCACATAACTTCTCTCTTTCATTCTTCTTCTTTATCAATTTGGAACAAAAAGGAGTAAATATCATCAAGCATCATATCAATCGGACACAGTTCTCCCCTAATCAAAAGAATACTGATGATAGCAAAAACAGTTTAATATTTAAGTTAATTAAGAAATTAAGCATCTATATATTCATTTTGTAACATCATTTATCAGGTCATTTATTTTTACTGAATTAACATCAATATTTTGCTGTTGCATAACTTTATTGAAGTGGTTTTAAAATAGTTTCTCAACTATTTCAGAATCTTTCTCAAATCTTAAGCGCTTCTAAGTGTAATCTAATACTCCAGCTTTGTCCATTGCTTTGATAGTCCACTTTACATTATAAACCATTCCGAGAAGGAGAATTGGAAAAGTCAAAAATCTAGTTTTGTAGAAAAAGTTTGCTCCATAGCCTCTTCTCCAGAGAATAGATTTTACAATATGGTATAATAGGAATGAGCCTATCATTTAACCCTATCTGCTAGCTGATTTTAATTTCACGCCTAAAGCAAGGTTTTCTAATTGCTAATCTTCAAGAGCATATTTCTCATTGAATTCTTAGCTATATGGATCGAAGAAAGTTTTGAAGTCAATATCATATCTTTATTTGAAATCGTCAGCTATAGCTTGCTTCTCCTATAGTAATTATAAAATTTTCTATAATCTCTAAGCTTTGATTTGCCTGCCGCTAAGTTAATTTTCCATTATATAAAATTATAAGAACCTCTTATTTCAATACTTAATTATAATACTTGGGGTTTTGGGGTTTTGGGGTTTTGGGG